TGTGGAGGACCTCAATTTGGTCGACTCATTCTGTCTAATGAACCCTTCCACCAGAGAATACTCTGTATTCTCTCCTCGCTTCAAGTCCCAGTCAGGCATATATTACATCCTTGTTTCTCACTCTCTCATACGTGCTGTTTCTCATGCTTCTCTGCTTTCCACTTCTTTATCTGATCTGCTTTCCTCCAGCTGGCTGTGCCCTCTCTACCTCCTCGGGCCTTGCAATGGAGATTTAATAATTCTCTGCTTCAGAATCAAGTTTATAGCTTATTTGACCCCTAGACTTAGATCTCTCTTAATGGGGGATCAACTGATGACCCAGCCTAGTGCTGGATGGCTGATAAGGGCTTCCTTTGTGATGCCAAGGCTGCTTTTGCTAGCAGCCTGACTCACGAATGTCGTTAGAAGATTTCTGATCTTGAAAATCTCAATTAGAAAATGAGCCTTGCTGTGGTGGATCAGGACCTTGAGATCCATATTTCTAACATAAGGGCCGAGCTGAATCCTCTTCTGTCACGCTGCTCAGAGTCTGTGGTTCATCTCACCAGGTCTCGCTATTATGTGTCTTGTGCCAGACCTAGTAAACTATTGGCTCTCAGGCTTAGGCAATGTGACTCATTTTCAATGATCTCTTCGATTAAACCGAAAGATGGGGTCCTCACCACCAACCCTATGGGAATCAGCAACTACTTTTTTCAGTTTTACTTGGATTGATTCTCCCCACCCTCCGATCCCGATTTGTTTCTTGATGCCTTACCCCTCCCCTGGCTCTCAGGTCCAGAAGCCTCGGTGCTTGATGCTCCTCTTTCAATCACTGAACTTAAAGAGGTTCTGGGCTCCATGAGCCCAGGGAAATCTTCAGGGCCTGATGGCTTCCCTCTCCATCCCCTTTCTGAATTTTAGAAACTGCTTTCTACTCCACTCTTCCATATTGTTCTCTTAATTCATCTATGATGAGTTTACTGTTTTAACAAAGTGAAGACCCCGCAGACTGTTCTGCTACCACTTGTTGTCCCTGATGAACTCCGATGTCAGGCTGATCATGAAGGTTCTTGCTCGTTGGCTTCAGGTGATTTGTAAATTGATTCACCCAGACCAATCTGGCTTTATAAAGTCCCACCATGCCGTCGACAGCATGCACCACCTGCTACATGCACTTCATGTTGCTCCTTCCTTTTCCTTCCTTGTTGCCCTTTTCTCTTTATATGTACAGAATGAATTTGACATTTTTGTGGAGGGTCCAGGACAGAATGGGCTTTGGCTCTTATTTTACCAACATGGTTCAGACCCTTTACTCCTCCCCCTACTCACTCCTCCTGACTATTGCCAACACTTCTCCTCCTTTTTTGCTCCTTCGAGGTGCCAGGCAGGGCTGTCCACTACCCCCTTTACTCTTTAATCTCTCATTAGAGCCCCTAGCCTCAGCTCTCCATCAATCAGATTTCTCCTATCCTGGTTAAAGGTGTTCCTCAAAAAGTCTCCTTATATGCTGACGATCTGCTCCTTTATCTTGGCAATGCCCCACTGATCTTCCTCATGTCTCAAATACTGTATATGAATCCCTGTCAGGCTATAAGATTAACTGGGAAAAGTCTCTTCTTCCACTGCATCCTGCATGTTACGTTTCATTTCCTTCTTCTATTCCTCAGACGAGGTCTTTCAGATACCTGGGGTTGGACATCTACCCCTCAGTCCTAGAGTTTGCAGCTGCCGTCTTTCACCGTGTTCTGGAGAGTATTAAGGTCTCCATCTCCTCATGGTCTTCTCTTTCCCTCTCATTCCAGACAAGGGTGGCCATTATTAAAATGAATGAGCTGCCAAACATTAATTTTATTAGCTCTATGCTTCCTCTTCCTCCTCCCCCTAGATACTGGGCCTCTGTTAAATCTACCATTTCTATGTCTGGGGTGTCACCCTCCCAGATTTCGAAATGTACCACCATGCTTTCACCCTAAGGCCAGTTTGGGGCTGGGTCACTCCTCTTGGACACCCCCCTGTCTGGCTTCCTATTGGTGCAGAATATGTACTTCCCTGCTGTGTAGCCTCTCTCCCTTTTTTGCCCATTAAACTAAAATCCATCTCTACCTCTATCTGTCCGTTTATCTCCCAGGCCCTTCACACATGGAGAAGGGTCGAAAAATTGTTGGGCCCCTTCCTGAATTGGCTCCCCAGCACACTGTTACCACACAGCCCTGTCCTGAACATTGGAGGCCCAGTTTCTAGCTCACCGTGATCATAGTCGGGCATTTCCACTCTGGGGAACATTTGTAACAGCTCAGGTCTCAAATCGTTTCAGGCTCTTATGTCTGCATTTAATTTACCTTCCCTTTCACTTTTTCTACCTCCAGCTGTGGTCCCTGCTTAGGGCTTGCAGTCTGACTGTGCCATTCCCTCTGTCTGGAAGTCTACCTTCTTTAATTTGGTGCTGCTTGAACTGTCTGTGGCCCTAATTAATAATTCCTCTAGCTCTACCATTCAGAGTTGGCTTCAAGATCTGCAGCTAGTCAAGGGCTGGTTGGGGGTCATTTTGTGATTTGTTTGTTTATTTATCTATTTATTTATCTATTTATAAATTAAACTACTTGCCTATTTCTGTTTATTTATTTCCACAATTTCTACTTTCATCATTATTTTTTCTTCACCTTTCAGCTGTGCTCTCTCCAGGGCTGGGTGCGCCAGTGACTTGATGGATTTTTGCTTTTTCTTTTTCTTTTAGGGTGCTGCCACAGGGTATGGGGGTGGGAGGGTGCCAGGGTGGGGGAGGTCTGTTGTTTTTCCTTCTATGTTAATACTTGTTCAATAAAAATTTGATCACTAAAAAAAATAATATATACCAACCGCAGTCTCCACAGCACCCAACGTGCTGAGGAGCAGCCCAGCTCACACATAACATGAGCTACAGACTATCAGGTGATCACTGACACATCTGCTCTTAAAGGAGACACCACTGATAGGTAAATATG